GCTTAATTCAGTCTTAATTGCACAACTATCGTAGTAAGGGCGATAGTACGAGCTAAGCCTGGTAACATCCCCCGGTCAGCGAACACACCTACACAAAAAGATAAATCGCTCTCCCAAAAATCCCATTTAATTCCCGACCGTAACAAACCTGACCGAACCACTAAATTAATTGCCAGTAAATTGAAGGAGAAAATTGACTATTCATTAATGTGGCGCGCAATCACACACGTTAAAATTTTTTTAGGGGAACGTCATGCCATTGTTAGACAACTTTGGTACCGATATGTAGCGTTTTATTATTAATGAATACTTTTACAGCATAACGTACGTTAAAGAATACCCAGCTCAACTTTCGTGTGTTCCTTCACAGTTGGAACCTCAAAACGCCTACTTTATTTAAACTCTTTAGCGCTCTACGTATTCAGCCACTTCTCTATAAATGTCTTAACTCCGTTATGACAATTGTACTTAGAAATTGTCTTTTAGACTGAAATAGGGAAATTATTATGGTTACCAAACTAAAGTCCAACAAAGCAGCTGTTTTGCAAGGTATATTATTCTGGTTAGTGCTAAACAATGTTAGGCTAATATTATATTCATGCTATTACTATAGTTAAATAATGATTTTTTTTAAAGGTTTTTTATACTTAACAGCCTTTTAACCCGAACGCATACTATGAAGAAATAAACATGTAATCAATTACATTGCACAATACACTCATGGATAAGCAATAAATATAATATTACATGAGGTGCACTTACAGAATTACTGTCAGTAATCTAGAATCAAACCGAGGTTGATATATGATGGTTAACAATGTGGAAAAAAAATTTTTAATTACGCTTAATCAATTATATAAACATCAACATTTTACACGTTGTATTCATACCTGTAACAAAATCATAACTGTTCTTCGGTTAGGACAAGTCTTCTGTAGGTAAAACTTTACTAGAGTATTTATTCTCCTTCTCAAGGCGCGATAAAGGTCTTGCATCAACGTAATAGATCGTATTCCATATATTGTTGTCAGACATATTATTGTCCATCTTTCCAACAAGGTCACCAATGCATAAATTAAGTTCTTTGCATGCAGGACGCTTGATAGGATCGGCATCGCAACAATGCTCAGCAAGTTTCTTGTATGCCTCTGGTGCTGAATCAGGCATCACAGGTCGTAGTCCACCCAGAATATGGCATACTAAATTTTTATCAAACGATCTGTTCCTGAAAGGCGGTTCACCACTTGCAACTAAATACATAACAATACCAAAAGCGTATATGTCTGATTCCAGAGTAAATTTACGAGTATCGAAAACTTCTGGTGCAATAAAAGGCAAAACACCTCGAATGGTTGGTTTTGGCGTTGACACCTGTAACTCTGAGAAACCAAGGTCACATATGAATGGTTTACTTAAACCTGTGTTTGATTTATTGAAAACTACGTTTCCACCATGGAGATTGCAGTGTACCAGTCCTGCCTCATGGATAATATTCAGACGGTCTGCAATATCCTTCAAACATCTTAATTTCATCATCCATGTCAACTTGTTAATATTTCGATTCAAGTAAGACCAAAGATCACCATCATTAGCATATTGCATTGCGATCATGTATTCTTTTGTCTCATACTGTTCTAGCCGTCGTATGACTCCATACATTTGAAGGAAATCGTTAGAAGAGGAACACTTGGCATGATTCCTGAACTGTTAAATAGAAAAGATTTTAAATATCCAATTAATATAACTTCAATGATTGATATCGGAGATTTCTTACCTCAGAAATAAATAATTCCGGCATCTGATCAAATTTCTTGAACTGCTTAATAACAACACGTTCTTGCATGTTAGAAGAATACTCATCTAGCCTACGTTTAGCCGTAGATACTGTCCCATAACCCCCAGAGCCAATCTCTTCAATTTCATGAAATTTGTAATGTTCCATAAGCCACAAGTTTGTACCAAGTCGCCTAACTCGGTTCCATATTGTATACGCAGGCATGTGGTTGTAAAACACTAAAAAATAGTCTCGAGTAGATGGTTCCTGAGTGATTCCAATAGCCCATTTATTTTCTGGTGTTAATATGTCCGGGTAATCCTTAGTTAGCTATATTGAGTATATAATAGAATCGTTGTAACAATCATCAATTAAACCGTACAATATCACACGTAATAAACCTTTCTTTTCTATAAAATTATTTTATATACCCTAGTCGCTAGCCCGGAGTTTCTCTATACCCCCCTTTTTTTTACTGTTGCAAATGAGAATGCTTACCTCATAAAAATCAAACGATTGACCGCTATTTCCATCAACTATTGTCTTGAACAAGACTTTTATCAATTGATTTGCCACCGGATCCAACCAATCCGCTATATGTGTACATCCATGTCGTAGTAATGTCGTCTCTCGTATGTTCTTCAGCTGCGAATACTCTATCCATTGTATATAAGGACCATCAACATGATCCATGTTACTCCAAGATTCCATGATAAATGCATCCAGAGAATTGTTGCCTGTAGTCCAATCAGGAGGTCGGGGTGCCTTACAACCATAACAGAATGCAGGTCTTATACGTTGTAATGGGACTGTACATCCCAGACATATTCCGTTTATCCTTACTTCTATTGCATTCAAAAATTTTTCTTTCCCATCATAACATTTTTGTTTAAGTAGATAATATTTTTGCTCATTTGCATCATATGTAAATCCAGCTGTAATCCAAATATCTTTGACAAGAATGTCCGGATATTCACTACACAACTAATAAAAGCTAATGTTATGTTAAGTCAAGCAATAATAACAACTGATAAAACTTGATATATTTCATAATTGAATAGTTACCCTATCATAATATGAATTATCCGTCTCATCTGTTAACTCAAGCGGAATCAATTTAACAGTTGCGTGAGTAGGTAAACCCCTTAAGGATATACCAAAAGGGAAAATTATAATGCAATCAAATGGAATCCATTCCAAGTAGAATTCGTTTGCTGAGTTTGTTTGCATTTGTGACTTCTTAATAAACTCATCGAGTTTCTCATTGTTGCTAGTCCATCCATCGGACAATTCTTTATGCCCACAGATACACCACACTGGACTACATCTCAGTATTCCGCATGCAGAGCAGAATCCATATCGAGAATAACAGTATAGAAACTGTATTTCAGCAACCATGTAATAGTTGCCTTCATACTCGGTAAATCCTTTTATCACATAGTTGCGACATTCTAACCATACTGTATATCTTCTGAATTGATTAGGTGGAGTATTATACGCATGCGTACGTGCTGGAAGTGAATACGTTTTGGCAAACTCGCTTACAAACTCTGGTGTACATTTTTCGTCATTCCCAAGAAGGAGTAGCATTATCTCATCTTTCAATTTCCGTCTGCAGAGGATGGCTTGGTCAGCAACATTTTGACTTAATTCTATGCTAGTATACCCTGAATAGGGAATCCATTCAAGACTAAAGTATTGGTCTTGTAAAGAAGTGTGAATCAAGCTATCAATTGCCAGACGTCCTGACATCTTGAATGTACAATTGTCGCTCACCATATTATTATTCTGTGCTCTTGTACCACATTACTGACGTAAGTAAATATAGTTAATAGTATATTACTAGCTTTTTAACTACAGAGCTCAATTTACTGTTGCACAAGAAATCACTGTTCACCTAATTTTCAAATCATTAGCCGGCACAGATGCATCACCTGTCTAAAGGCGACGACGAAACTTTTGATATTCATCTAGTTGAGCCTGAAGGGCAGTTTCGGGTAAATTTTAAACTTATTTCAAATGCTGCAAGACAGTTGAACTTTTATCAAATTTGGGAATTCATTGTCTACATTAGCCGACAAGAATCGGTGACCTTGATTTCTCTGCTGGTTCATGGGCTTCAAGGATTGGCATTCTGTACGACGAACTTCACTTGCAAGCCACAGAATGGAACGGGGGGTCGTATTCGCTGAATAGCTTCGAGTGGGCTCATAATTCTGATCAATCCGATTTGAGATTGGGTGACGATGCTGGCAAAGAAGCACGATTCGTTTTTTGTGGTGTGTAGAGATCAGGATGCATGTCAATTACACCAGTTGTCACGAGTTTTAACGGAATCTCTTGGGATAAAGGCGGTGTTATACGACAAGATAAGGTGGAAGGGAATTACCCAGTTATCGCCACATTATCCTGTAGTACTGAGCGCATGGGACATCCGCGGGCGTGGAAGTCTATACGGCGAATTGCTCGTTGTCGTGATTCAGAAACTACGGAACTCCCTTGCGTAAGTGTCTATATGTATAGGTATATAAATAATTCACTATTTAATACGTGTTTTTTTATAAGGAAATTCATAGAGCCTGTCATGTTCAACCTATTAACGAGGAACCTATCCAGCAACTAAGGTAAGTTACTATTGCATTTTTAGATAAGGGAATCTTGCTTTCGTGATAACCTTTTTTGAAATTTATAGAATTATAAGAAATGCATCCAGCAGCTATATTATAACAAATGGTATTCGGAATATTTGCTGGTGGCATCTGTATACGGAACGAAAAGTTGCTTGCAAGTAGAGTATAAGAGGTTTTTTATTTTAAACAAGTCTTTCACATGCAGTATTACCACAAGTCATTTACAATTTGCTTGGCATGTTATCATGATAGGCTTAGTCTTGGCAGTGATGCCGAGGTGGGACAGGGTCTGGCAGCCGCCGGTGGGAAGAGCATCATCAATGGAGGTTAGTTGATGGAAGATTGGATACTTCTTCTATGTTAATGAATTAAAGCTTTTAACATTGCGCTCATATGTAGATGCAAATGGTTATGTAAATATATGGGATATTGGAACAATACAAACATACTTGAGTACCAAAAACGGTATTATGAAAGGCTTTTATACATCTCAATTTGGCAGCTCTCGGTACATCTATGAATTGATCAGTTACCAATACACGTTTATAATTTCCTTCAGGCAGCCTACTACCTGCACACAAGACGTCAGTGACAAGTCCAGATGAAAAGATACTGTCGCTCACAGCGCAATATCATAATAGTGCCCTCAACATTTATTGCACAACTGATGCTGGCCGATTAATAGCATGCGATCCCAGAAAGTCTGGAAACCCTGCCAGCGCGGTAACATTTATTGCTTTTCGTCGATAGTACGCGCACATCCCGCATCTTGTTAATTTTATAATATTTAAAACAGATTGATTCTGCGCACAATTCTGCAGTCACTACAAGCGCTTATCACCCTACAAAGACACATCTGCTATTGTCAGGAGCAAACGATGGTACTGTCAAATGGTGGGACACTCGAAAAATGGTTAGCCTATACAACAAGACACCGGTAGGTTTAGCTTGCTCTGGGCGATCGGGTGTGTCGTCCCGCCCTAATGTCATTCTTTGAATCTCTTTACAGATCCCGATGGGAACATTAAAGGTTCATACAGACCGTGTGAACAAAGTTGAATGGTCACCGCACCATGATTACATTTTCGCCAGTTGCTCGGATGATAAAAGCGTTGTTATCTGTAATAGTGAGGTGTTTATACTCTTTGAATTATTGTTTCTTGTTTCAATCTGTCTCTGCTGCAAATATTAATGCAATCCTGTATTATTTTATAGCGTGTTGGTCACGATTTAAATAGCGATTATACATTTCAACATGTCGGCCACAAGTACTGTATTGTGTGATGTAATAAGTGGTAGCATGGTTGGACTGTTTATTAACCTTTGTCGACTATAGGGAGAGGGTGACAGATATCTCTTGGCATCCTGCCAAACATCACCAGTACACTATTGGATCAGTATCTCCCGGTTCCGCAGACAACCCCGGGATGATTCAAGGTGATTCCAAGTCTATTTCATAAACAATCCGTAACTGCTTTATAGGAAATGCGTTCAAACTCGTCAATTTTCTCGTGTTTATGTTTCACGTTATATAGTATGGCGGATAAATTCATTAGTAGCCAGGCAAGTTTGAAGATGTTTTCTGAACTGTGAAGTTGGATAAATCATTAATTTTAATCATTTCTTTTCGAACCCAGAGGGCTGCGAGAGGGAAAGCCAAAACAGACTAGATCTCTTGTAATAGACATGGAGATCGATTGACGAAAACTTGACTGACTAGATGTTAGTCAGATCAGTTATAAGAAAACGCGAACTTTGAATACGTATAGGACAGTAGGCAGGGAATGATTAAGTCCATGCGTGTTAATCTAAAGCATTCTCTAATCGTACGATTTTCCACTTGCCCAAAAATCATCCTGTGCAGTTTCTTGTCATAATATACATTGAACGTTAAGTTAGAAGCACATTAAAGATTTAGTCAAATGACATATTTGTAGTACAAATATGTATACAACACCTACCCGTTAAATAAAATGTAATTGCGTCGCGAGAACGCACGCTAAACACCAAACATGCAATCACTAAGAAATCGTCTCGTTGCATTACCATGATCTAGTCAATTGCTATTCATATGCTGGTGATAGAACCTTTCTCACATTCCCCAATTCTGGTGGTAACTTTGATGATTGGTTTGAATGGCAGCACAAAGCATTAAAACAATTTGTCTTGCTGAATCTATCCGCCAATGTTTGTAAGATATCGGGTGCAGATGATATGGTGGTTTGAACCTAGACAGATAACGCGGAGTGAACATCCACTTGTTACAATGTTGATACCACCGACAGGGTGAATAAGCTTATAAAATAAAACGCTTGGGATATCACAAGTAATGAACGCCGTCAATTAGGGAAACGGAACCATGACGGACCAGATTACTACCAACTTACAACTTCTAACAGGAGGATAGTATCCATTTCACTCCATCGACTCTCAAAACACTAACCCGATGTTAATGAATAAAAACCCATTCTACATTCAAATCAATAATTTGTGATGTATACAGATAACTTGTTCAAAAAGAAATTGTTCATTATGATACAACTGCTTAGATCGTTTCATATTCAGCAATGCAGACGTCAAGCGCTTCCTACTATTGACCAAGTCATACTCAATGTCCTCTCCTACATCCACCGTACATATCCCAAAAGATAGAAAACGCAAACGTGACGAATGCCAGCGTATCAAAAAATATGCTCGTGTTATAGAAATTACACCTACGAGTTGTGATGACGAGAAAGATAACTGTTAGATCAAGATTATGGAAATAAATACCGCTCCTTCAAAAGAAAATCTGAGAAGCTACCATTCACCAATACCGCCGCCTCACACACGTTCTATTCACACTTGACTTACCATCCATTGTGGTCACCAGGCGGACACTTGAATTTCACGATTAAGAAGTAGCCAAGGATTCCCCATGCAAAAGCAAGCACAAAATCAATCAGCAGCATTATCCATCTCCGCAGTTTTCTGTTACGGCCAAATCGACGCGAAAAGTACTTGCATACGTAGAATAGACTGACCAAACAAGATGTTATTGATACGACGTACAAACCGATTACTCCAGGTCGAATATCGGGTGGTGTTGATACGTGAGACACCTGCTCGAAAAAAAAAAGGGAATTAGTCATCTCAAAATCTGATACAATGATTACCGTCAACCATCTTGATTCAAGTACTTACACTCGAAGCTCCAGCAATAAACCCTAATGCACCAATACTAGCCAGAAGCTGAATAAATCTGAATACAAATCTCCTCCGACTTGGCTTTCTTAGTTTTGATTCCTGGGTCACTGCATCTGAAGCATTATTGTTTTTATCTGGATCGGTGTCATCATTATCATCGTCGTCAGTGTCGTCATTGTCGTTGTTGTCGTTGTTGTCGTCGTTATCATTATTACTGTAGTTATTATGATTATTATGATTAACAGTATCATAACTATTATTATTGGTATCATCATTATCATGATTATTGCTGTGTCTTGCCGAATCGTAGTGGTGTGCATACGGGGGATAAGTGACAGTAGAAGTGTCGTATCCATCCGATGGTCGACCATACGTATGCGAGTGTGGATATGAAGAATTAGTGTCATAGGAGGAATATTGCGGTGGAGGCCCATTATCATCGTAATTACTATCAGCGTGTGGAGGGTAATGATATGTAGTAACGGGTGCCGACGGGTAACCCACGATTGGGTTAATCGGGAATGGGTTTGGGCGATAAACGCTGTCTGGACGATGAGAATCTGCCACGTTAGGTGTGGCGTGTTTAGGAGAAACGTCTTTCTTCAATAATTGAGTCATGCTGAATGGTATAAAAGTTACAATGGGAAAAACTATAGCAATGGGCGCAAAAGAGAAAGTCGGCTGTAAGCATTTTGCGCATAGAAAGCACTAGTGCATATAAATGGCTGGTTGTCTAACCATCATAGGGTATTAGAGAAGGGAAAACTAATGTTGGTATTTGGAAACAATCTCCCGGGGACAAATTTCCGTGATTCCTTTTTCGTGAGACTTTATGAACGTACGGTTTGGTTGATGCATGAATTTCAGGGGGAGAATTCGAAATTCGAACTTGCCTAGACCAACAAAGGAATGCGAAAAAGAAGGGTCCAATTTGACATTCAACTTTATTGTTAACCTATAAAAGCCACAATCAGGAGTGTTTTGCTTCTTCTCTGGTAAAGCATCAATGCTATATTCATGCACGTTGCAGCCATCGACCCGGAGTTCGCACTTTTCTTACGTGGTATTCTCCCACAGTTGGATATGGAAACATTGGAGACAATGATATCAACCGTGTTTTTCGCTTATGCCTTGCTCTTGATGCCTTGATCTCACACACCACCAAAGTATCAGCAAAAAAGCGTAACTCGTTTAAGCGCGCTCAAGCACGCATGAGAAGACGTATTCAAAATTTAGTGGATGAACTACATAACTTTTGACATACTCGTGTTACCAAAATTTAAGACATACGGAGACGAAAAGGAAAAATTAACAGTAGATGATGAGCTGGGCGCATGCTAGGTTTAGGAATCGATTGATATCTAAAGCGGTAAAATAATAACATCCGTATCTGATGCACATACGAGTAAAACATGCAGTCGTTGCGGATATATTAGGAGGAAAATAAAGTATTTGGGTGTGATGGGTGTGGACTTCAGATTAATAGAGATCTAAATGGCGCCCGGGGAATTTTTCTCCGGGCATTGCTTAATGGAGCCTTAGTTATGTAACGTAATTATGCCAATTGATTGATTATAGTTGACTATTTTTAGCTATAAGTTGATCGATCCAATCCGTCATGACAAAACTTCCATCTATATTTTGCTACTAAACAAATAAAAATCTTATGCAAATCTCTTTCGCTAGCTACTCTTATGTCCTTTGCTGCACAACCAAAATAATACTGTTCACATTTAAACTATTTAGCTCATCACTCTCCTAATATCAAGTATACCAACATAGTAAAGAATTATGCGACCCGCAGGTTATGTTATTCTGCACAATATTGGCCCTGTTTCTCATTGGATCGGTTACATAGATATTTTTGCCCAAACTACCGTATTTACGCTTGTGATAATGTTAGCCGCGCGCGAATTTGTATTTTCGGCTCTGGCATGTGGGAAATATATTAGATATGTATACCCAATCATATTATAAGTTACACGCAAGTCACAAATTGGGAAATTCAGTATTGGCGTGAAAATAACTGACATCGGTCGGGGTTTGATCAATTGTAGTTTCCGATACAACACTTGTATAGATATCGAAAATGATTTCGATATTATAACGCCAGAAAGTGTGACAGCGGCTTGCAAAATATGAATTCTCCATTACTTTTTTGACAACTGTCTCATCAAATCGGAAGTTACATTACCTTTCCTCTCTTGAATGTATACGCATATTACATACACAACGTACAACTTCTCATTTCGAGAGCTACCGTAGTGCGTACGCTGAATAATGCACTAACCTTTTAGTATAACAAATGTGCTGACTCAATTAATGTCGCGGCTGATGCTGAAATCCACACAATAGTTTTTATTACCTAATTGTTGTGGGGATTAAAACCTCTGCGTGTTTTGCACAACAAACTGTTTTTCAAGGAACATACCCAACAAAGACAGTCTCTTTCCCCGCCTTATTCACATACTGACGAAATCTTTCTTCCCTTGTTCTTGAAACTGTAGAAAATTAATGAAAAGTTGTTCATAGACAGAACAACTGAGAAGGGGGAAAAAATTTTTTTAGCTTTTTCTATGCTTATGGAATATCAGATAGAAAGAATCTTAATCAAGCAGGTTATTGGTATAAATTGTCAGCAGAAAAAAAATAATGCTTTTGCACAAAATAGAGAATGATCTTACCGAGACAATAGCATTGTGTTCGTTAATTGTGACTTGGGCTGTGTGTCATAAGAATAAAGCGATTTGCATTGAAAAGATTCAAAAACTTTTACCATCATCCCAAGAGGGGCTGATGGTTTTAATCGTTGGGGTACAGATTGACAACGGACTTTTTAATAAAGTATTAGTTTCACAATCAAAGATTTCTAATTCCTGATTTAGTTTTAATTTTTTAAAGAATTTTATTTTATATATGTGCTTTTTTTTATTTTTGGAGGTAATTTATTTAGTTATCTCCAAAAACTGTCTAAAAACGCTCTCAAAAAACGATTTTTATGAGCTTTTACTGCTTGAGACAGAAACACGAAGTTACTTAAAGCGTTATGGTAGCATGAAGGGATAGTTGTTAATTGCCAGTTTGACGTTGTCGGTGCTGCAATTTTTTTTGAATAATAATCAAATTGAGTGACTCTGATTACAACGACACTCTCGAGTAATGGAAGGAGTGTCTTTGAATCCAGATGTCGGTTTATCTACCAAATGGATTTGAACATCAACATCGCAATATGTATTTGGGTAATTTATCAGTTTATCACATATTTGATATAGTAATAGGTAATTTAAGCTAGCGACACATGATTATGATGATTACTTTATTCACGAACAAAAAAGAAAAAAGATTCAAATT